AGGAGAACAATTGGGTAACGAATTCTAACTCTAATTTGGTACGAATTCTAACTCTAATTTGGTTCTAATACATTAATCTATTGTTATTTTCCTCATCTAATCTACTAATTTGAGTGGAAGAATGGGGATTTGTGGGAAAAGTTTCCCAATCGAGTAATTGGGTTTTGATCGGGTTTTAGTTGTCGAAATTGAGTAATTTTTGGACGAGTGAGCTCGTGAGTGAATGGGTGTTCTAAATTGGTAAATTTTACCTGATTCGAAGACGTGGGCCCGGGGAGGATTTTTAGGCATTTTTCTAATTTCTTGCCGTAGCTTTGAACTCATTAGTTAAATGAGTTTCTTGTAGTTTTATTTACGTTATGTAATTGATTTGATTAGATTTGGGCCACTCATAGTTGGATACTCGTGGCAAGAGCATGATATCAGATTGATTTTGAGCTAGTTCGAGGTAAGTGGCTTGCCTAACCTTGTGTGGGGGAACTCCCCTTAGGATTTTGGTACTGTTGTTATTTGAATGCCTTGTACGTGAGGTGAAGAGTGTGTACATGTGCTAATTGTTGAAAAACCCCATTTTCATTAAGTAAATATATGTGTTAGTATTTGATGCCTCATGTGTAGTTTAGGAAAGCATGCTTATGTGACTTAACTGTCTTAACTGCTTTACTTGAATTCTGTGTAGCATGTTTAGGGTTGAATTACCTATTTTCTTGATATGAACTTGAATAGAACTGTAAATTTCCTTGTTGAGACTGTTGTGTATTTACTTTGGGACTACGGAACGGATTTTCGGGAGATCCCCTTACATGTTTATTTTGGGACTACAAGACGGTATCCCGGGAGATCCCCCTATACTGGATATTTATTTGGGACTACGTCGGTATTCGGGAGATCCCCTACACATTTACGATTTGGACTACGGGACAGTATCCGGGGAGATCCTTTACACATTTACGTTTGGGACTACGGGACTTTATCCTGGGAGATCCCTTGTTGTTTCCTCGGTGTACCGAGTTATTTCTTTTTGTGATTTCATTTTAATTACTGTTAGTAGTTCAATTACACTGTCACATTTCTTACTGCTTTTACCTATATATATATATATATATATATATATATATATATATATATATATATATATATATATATATATATATATATATATATATATNTATATATATATATATATATATATATATGACTGGTAGGGCCCTGACCTTCTTCGTCACTACTCGATCGAGGTTAGGCTTGGCACTTGCTGGGTACCGCTGTGGTGTACTCATGCCCTTTTCTGCACATGATTTTCGTATGCAGATCCAGGTTCTTCTGCTCAGCCATACTATCCGTGAGCCGAGGCGATCTAGAGACTTCGAGGTATATATGCCGCATCCGCAGACCTAGAAGTCCCTCTCTATTCTCCCTTTAGCTATAGACTTCTTGTATTTTCTGTCGTTTAGACTTCTAGAGTTAGAACACTATGTATTTTCTTTAGCTTGTGTTTCATGAGATTCCAGGTTTTGGGAATGTTATTATTGGTCGAGAGTATTATTATTGTATATGCCGAACGACATTCCAGACACTTATTTATATTTCCCTGTTAGTTGGCTAGTTTTGTACTTTTAATTCTTTTTCCTTTAATTGTTAGGCTTACTAGGTGCCATCACGACAGTTCATGGAGGGAGAACTTGGGCCATGACAAGTTGGTATCAGAGCTCTAGGTTCATAGGTGTCATGAATCACAACCCAAGTCTCGCGGATCGGTACTGAGACGTCTGTACTTATCTTCGAGAGGCTATGTAACAATTAGGAAAATTCCACTTCATTTGATTCCTTGTCATGCGAGATTATTTATATCAAAATTCTAATCCTCTGTCTCCTATTATCTCACAGATGGTGAGGAAACGTGCTACCGGAGATGATCAGACACCCGCGCCCCCTGCTAGAGCCGCCAGAGGTCGGGGCCGGGTAGAGGCCGAGGACGCGCATGTGGTGCAGCCAGAGCACCCGTGCGAGCTGCCACAGAGGAGCCACCAGCAGCTCCAGTTGGAACCAGGCGCCTGATATGCCTACTGTTACTACTACTGCAGCTCTCCAGGAGACCCTTGCATAATTCATGAGCATGTACACCACTTTAGCTCAAGCAGGGTTGATTCCCCTTGCTGCAGCCACATATAAGGCCGGGGGAGGAGCACAGACTCCCCCCCGTCCGCACCCCAGAGCATCGGATTCAGGTTGATCAGATCCCAGAGGTTATACTGGTACCACTTGTAGCCCCAGTTCAGCCCGAGGATAGCGCAGTAGCTTCAGAAGAGGAGCAGCAGAGGCTTGAGAGGTTCAAGAAGTACCAGCCTCCTACATTCAGTGGTCTAGCATCGGAGGATGCTTAGGGATTTTTGGAGGAGTGCCGCCGTATTCTCCGCACTATGGGTATATCAGGGTCGAGTGGGGTTTCTTTCACTACCTTCCAGCTTCGAGGAGCAACAAGTCAGGCTGAGGCAACTTCCCTTACATGGACTCAGTTTTCAGATATGTTTTTGAGGGAGTACGTTCCTCAGAGCCTCAGAGACGCATGGCGCACGGAGTTTGAGCATTTTTACCAGGGTTCTATGACTTTTTCGGAGTATGTTGTCTGTTTCAGTGACTTGGCTAGGCGTGCACCGACCTTGGTTTCCATGGTTCATGAGAGAGTTCGCCATTTTATTGAGGGGCTTATTCAAGCATCAGATCTAGCATGACCCGGGAGTTGGAGATGGATATTGCTTATCAGCAGGCGGTGAGCATTGCTAGGAGAGTAGAGGGCATGCTTACTCGGGATAGAGAGGAGAGAGAGGCTAAGAGGTCTCGAGAGTTGGGCCATTATTCTGGTGCCCGTTCTCCAGCTGCAGTTCGTCATGGTAGGGGTTATATGAGTCGCCCCGTTCATTCAGCTCTTCCAGCAGCCAGCGGTATTCCAGCTCCTCCTAGACCTCAAGAGCCTTATTATGCACCTCTAGTATCTAGTGCACCTCCTGCAGGGGGTGCTTTCAGTGGTCAGTCTAGCAGACCTGGCCCGAGCCAGTCACAGTCGCCACGTCCTCCTAGAGCTTGTTTTAAGTGTTGCGACACATGCCATATGGTGAGGGATTGCCCTAGACTTAGGAGGGGTGCACCTCCACAAACTTCTCAGCCACAGCGTGCTCCGTAGAGTTCCCATGCTATGATCACAACACCAGTTGCTACCCCACCTGCTCAGCCAGCTAGAGGTAGAGGTCGGGGAGGTAGAGGTCGCCCTAGAGGGGGAGGACAAGCCAGATGCTATGCCCTTCCTACCCGTACTGAGGTTGTTGCCTCTGATTATGTCATCACAGGTATTGTTCCAGTCTGTCATAGAGATGCATCGGTTCTATTCGATCCAGGCTCTACTTATTCTTATGTGTCCTCTTATTTTGCCCCGCATTTGGGCGTATCTCGGGATTCTTTAAGTTCCTCTATTTATGTTTCTACTCCTGTGGGAGATTCTCTTATTGTGGACCGCGTTTATCGGTCGTGTTTGATTGCTCTTTGTGGTTTTGAGACAAGATCCGACTAATTATTGCTCAGCATGGTAGATTTTGATGTTATCTTGGGCATGGACTGGTTGTCACCCCATTATGCTATTCTTGAATGTTACGCCAAGACCGTAACACTAGCTATGCTAGGTGTACCATGATTAGAGTGGAGGGGTACCTTAGATCACAATACCAGTAGAGTTATTTCATTTCTTAAAGCTCAGCGAATGGTTGAGAAGGGGTGTGACGCGTATCTAGCTTATGTGAGAGATGTCAATATTGATACCCCTACAGTTGATTCAGTCCTAGTAGTACGGGATTTCTCTGATGTGTTTCCAGCTGATCTTCCGGGCATGCCGCCTGACAGAGATATTGACTTTGGCACTGATTTGTTGCCGGGCACTCAGCCCATTTCTATACCTCCTTACCGTATGGATCCTCCTGAGTTGAAGGAGCAGTTACAGGAATTGCTTGATAAGGGCTTTATTCGGCTATGTATTTCCGTATGCAGTAAAATCGGAGGGTCCAATTTTCTATCATTGCGATGGCTCGTAGGCACATTTCATAGGTTCGAGATTATGGTCTAGGTTCACCCTCGAGGGCTATTGACGCTCGAACTCGGGGCAGTGTAGACCAACGGTTGTGATGAAAAAGTGGGGAGTTCCCAAGACACATAACCAGAGCTGACAAAGTCTGGTGGGCTAAGTTCAGACCTGAATCATAGCGTCAGCTAGCTGTCCCATCTCCATATCTTTGTAATAAAGTATTTGTACTATGTTGGGGTTTTCCCTCATATATAAAGGGGGTCCTTGCCACTTTGAAAAGGTGGTTGCTCAGTACTAAGAAATACACGAACATTCTCTCTAACATTTTCTCTTGAGCTCATTACTTCATTTATTGTTTACATTCATTGTGCTCTATTTATTGTTCATCATTTATGGCCTATCATTGATCATAAAAGAGCCATCGTCATAGCTCTTATAACTATTATATCCCCCTTAGATGCCCTGAATCGACCACCCAGCTCGACCCCAAGGCCCTGTAATCGACAGCTCGAGGCCTTCGATCCGCCACCGTTTGGTTCGGTTATCTTACCATTTCTAAGCTATAATCCTAATTTCTTACCTTTTACTTAGCATCCATCATGTAACAACTAGCATAAAAATAGATCACGTATTTTTAGAACCTCACAATCAAATTTAATTGTTATTACCATTTTCACAGTAAACAGTTTGGCGCCCACCGTGGGGTTAAAGATAATAGTGATTATTTTCTTGCTGGTTTTACCACATAACGTAAGTTGTCCTTCACACTTTTCTTGTCCAAGATATTCGATTTCAGGTCAATATGTCTAACTCAGTAAATGGAGGTGAAAACAACAATCTTGAGGACCGAGGAGAGAACAGTGTGAATGTTCCAGGTGTTGGTGTACCACCGCAAAACGCTGAGAGTACGCCGGAACCAATTCCCGAGTTTATGACCTCATACAACTCCCAACACGGTAACGATGATCCTCACATTAGCAAGGGAGCACGCCGAAAGATTCAACAGGAAATCCGGAAAAATCCAACATGGGCTGAGAGAGAGATTCCTCAGCATGTCGTTCATATAATCATCGGGGGGACGGACATTCCCCAACGACTCGTGATCAAACGGATAAAAATATCCGCTGTAATAGAAGGGCCGATCCGAGACCGCGTGACCGAAGACACCCTTGCATTCAGCGAGGAAGATTTCGGGACCTTAACACAGCCACACAATGACGCCCTGGTAATTTCATTTCTTTTAAATAACATTCGAATTAAACGTGTGCTCGTGGACCCAGGCAGCTCAGCCAACGTAATCAGGTCAAAGGTAGTAGAACAGCTCGGGCTGCTTGGTGAGATCGTACCCGCCTCCCGGGTCCTCCACGACTTCAACATGGCCGGTGAAATAATGAAAGAGGAGATCACCCTCTCGGTTGACATATCCGGTACAGTTTAGAACACCAAGTTCCACGTTATCGGCGGTGACATGAGGTACAACGCATTGCTTGGCAGGTCGTGGATACATAGCATGATGGCAGTGCCGTCAACTCTACACCAGATGATGAAGTTCCCAACACGGGATGGTATAACAACCATATATGGAGAACAACACGCGGCTAAAGAAATGTTCGCAGTTTACCAGGAGGCGCCGAATCCTATACGCTCTACCTCGGATGAGTCTGGAAGCGTACAAACACCCGAAGATGATGAAGAAGATTTCCCCGCTCCCCGGACTTTCGTTGCCCCCGAAGAGTCGGATGTAACAAAATCGACAATTGAAGAGCTGGATCAAGCTGTTTTGATCGAGCATCTCCCAGATCAGAAGGTATACCTAGGAACGGGATTAACCCATGAACTCAGGAAAAAACTCATTCAATTCCTTATTAATAACATCGACTGTTTCGCTTGGTCCCACTAAGATATGACAGGAATCCAGCTGGAAATAACCACCCACCGGTTAATTGTCGACCCTAGGTTTAAACCGGTGAAGCAAAAAAGAAGACCCCAGTCCGAAATAAAACACGTGTTCATCAATGACGAGGTAACGAAACTCCTTAAAATAGGGTCTATTAGAGAGGTAAAGTACCCCGAATGGCTGGCCAACGTAGTAGTAGTGCCTAAAAAGGGAAATAAGTTAAGAATGTGTGTAGATTATAAAGACTTGAATAAGGCATGCCCCAAGGATTCATTCCCGTTGCCTAACATCGATCGCCTGATCGATGACACGGCCAGCCACAAAACCCTCACCTTTCTTGACGCCTACTCGGGGTATAATCAAATTTAGATGAACCCCGAGGATAGGGAGAAGACTTCGTTCATCACGAATTATGGTACCTGCTATTACAACGTAATGACCTTCGGGCTGAAAAATGCAGGGGCCACATACCAACGTCTAGTTAATAAAATGTTCGAGCATCAAATAGGCAAATCTATGGAAGTTTATATTGATGGCATGCTAGTTAAGTCCCTGCATGCAGAGGACCATTTAACTCATTTGCAGGAAACATTTGACATCCTCAGAAGTTACAACATGAAGCTTAACCCCGAGAAATGTGCCTTCGGAGTGGGTTCGGGCAAATTCTTAGGCTTCATGGTGTCGAACAGGGGGATCGAGATCAACCCCGATAAAATCAAGGCCATCGAAGAAATCACAGTGGTAAATAATGTAAAAGTAGTACAACGGCTGACAGGACGGATAGCGGCTCTAGGCAGGTTCATATCGAGGTCATCGGACAGAAGCCATCATTTCTTCTCTTTGCTCAAAAAGAAAAACAACTTTGAATGGACTCCAGAATGCCAACATGCCTTGGAAGAATTGAAGCGATATCTGACTAGCCCGCCTTTGCTCCACACACCAAAAGAGGAAGAGATGCTGTATTTATACCTGGCTATATCTGAGATAGCGGTAAGAGGTGTGCTGGTTCGAGAAGAGCAAGGTACGCAATTCCCTGTCTATTATGTAAGTCGGACCCTGGGGGATGCCGAAACCAGGTATCCGAACTTGGAAAAATTAGCTCTTGCGCTAATAAGCGCATCCCGAAAATTGAAACCTTATATTCAGTGCCACCGTATTTGCATTTCAACAACGTACCCTCTCTGTAGCATATTGCACAAGCTCGAATTATCGGGCCGATTGGCCAAATGGGCCATCAAACTCGGGGGATATGATATCGAGTATCAACCCCGAATGGCCATCAAGTCCCAAATTCTGGCAGACATCGTGGCCGACTTCTCGCTCTCCCTCGTACCCGAGGTAGAAAAGGAGCTCTTACTAAAAGCGGGCACATCTTTCGAGATGTGGACCCTGCTCACCGATGGCGCCTCGAATGTGAGAGGATCCAGACTCGGTATAGTCCTGAAGCCACCCACGGGCGGCATGATCAGGCAATCTATAAAAACTGCAAGGTTGACTAACAATGAAGCCGAGTATGAGGCTATGATTGCAGGTCTGGAATTGGCCAAAAGCCTGGGAGCTGAGATCGTCGAGGCAAAATGCGATTCACTCCTGGTAGTAAATCAGGTAAATGGGAGCTTTGAGGTCCGAGAAGATAGGATGCAAAGATACTTGGAAAAAATCCAAATCACATTACGCCGTTTCAAGGAATGGACCCTGGTCCATATACCCCGAGAGCAGAACAGCAAGGCCGATGCCCTCGCTAACCTGGGATCATCCGTCGAAGAGGATGACCTACTCCCCGGGGCTGTTGTTCAGCTATCCAAATCAGTGGTCGAGGAAGGTCATGCTGAGATTAACTCCAGTAGCCTGACATGGGACTGGAGAAATAAATATATTGACTACTTGAAAGATGGGAAACTACCCACAGATCCGAAAGAATTGAGGGCCCTGCGTACCAAAGCAGCCCGATTCTCGCTCGATGAAAGCGGAAATCTTTACAGGAGAACCTTTGACGGCCCTCTAGCTGTATGACTGGGTCCAGGAGATACCGATTATGTGCTTCGGGAGATCCACGAGCGGACCTGCGGAAATCACATCGGTGCCGATTCCTTAATTTCGAAAAATAATCAGGGCAGGCTACTATTGGGACAACATGAAAAAACACACTAAGGAATTCGTCCGAAAGTGCGACAAATGCCAGAGATTCGCCCCTATGATTCACCAACCCGGCGAACAACTACATTCGGTCTTATCGCCATGGCCGTTCATGAAATGGGGAATGGACATCGTCGGACCTCTACTAACGACACCAGGTAAAGCTAAATTTATTTTGTTTATGACTGACTATTTTTCGAAATGGGTGGAAGCGCAGGCCTTTAAAAAAATAAGAGAAAAAGAAGTCATTGATTTCATCTAGGACCACATTATGTGCCGATTCGGGATTCCTTCCTAGATAACGTGCAATAATGGGAGGCTGTTCATCGAAAGCAAAGTAACAAAGTTCCTCGAGGATCACAAAATCAAAAAGAATCCTGTCGACACCCTACCACCCGTGTGCAAATGGCCAAGCCGAGTCCACAAACAAAACCATCATCCAAAACTTAAAAAAGAAGCTGGAAAGCGCTAAGGGAAGATGGAGAGAAATATTGCCCGAAGTACTATGGGCGTACCGAGCAACTCCCAAATCGAACACAGGGGAAACACCTTTCTCCCTAGTGTATGGTGCCGAGGCTTTGACACCGGTGGAGGTTGGGGAACCAGGCGCCAGATTCTGACACATCACTGAGAGCTCGAACAACGAGGCCATGACTACGACCCTCGAACTATTGGATGAAAGTGAGAATCCTCGCTGATCCGAATGGCTGCCCAAAAGAAAAGGATCGAAAGGTACTATAACAGGAGAACAAACCTCCGATATCTCGGAGTCGGGGACTTGGTCCTAAGAAAAGTAACCCTCAACACCCGTAACCCTAATGAAGGAAAGTTAAGCCAAAATTGGGAAGGACCGTACCACGTCCTCGGAGTAATCGGCAAAGGGTCCTACAAGCTCGGTACCATGGAAGGCGAACAACTTCAAAGCAACTGGAATATATCAATGCTGAAATGATACTACTGCTAGGGTGTCCGGTTGAAAATTCTTACACACCCTCGAGCATGCGTTGCACTGTTTTCCTTCGACCGGATTTTGTCCCTAAAAGGGTTTTATCGGCAAGGTTTTTAACGAGGCAACATCTGTATGCTACCTAAGAAGGACTCAACAAAGTATTCAAGGCTTCCTTCCAATCAACCTCGAATACTGGGGGGCATCCCCCCGAAGGGTCACCTACCCGGGAAACCCAAGATACGCCAAATGGGGTCTTGATAGAAAGATGATGTACCGGACCAAACGGTCGAATGAACCGTGTCCGCATAGAATAGCCAGGCTCCTGGCAGCGAAAACATGTATACTTGTACTAAGTAATCAAAGAATACTTTCCATCAAATCATTTCACGCTTCAAAAGAAACTCGACTTTTCTGTAAAAATGGCTCCTCTGTCAAAAATGTCCCGAATACTCGGGGACGGGCGCCAAAGACTCAAGGCCACATGACCTCCGGGTCGGAAGCCCCAAAATCGTAAATCCCTCAATGAGGCAATACCAAGTTTACAAGTGATGGCTCCCGAGCCGAGAAATCCTTGGTGACTCGGGGACTGCCTGAATGACCTCCGGGTCGGAGCTCCAAACTCTTAAGCCCTCAACAAGGAAACAGCAAAATCACAAAATGGCTCCAAAGCTAAAAGCGCCCCGAACACTCGGGACTGGCATCAAAATCTCAAAAATCGCACGGCCTCCGGGTCGGAAACTCTGAAATCATAAGCCCTGAATGAGGCAATATCAAGTTTACAAGTAATGGCTCCCAAACCAAGGTACCCTCGATGACTCGGGGACTGTCGCCAATCGCCACTTACCAAAAAACCCGAGGCCATAAGACCCCAAGCGGGCAACCTCTATCTCATAAGACCAACAACAATATTTTTAAGACCTCAAGCAAGGCATGAACCACACTTGTACCTAAGTGACAATATCTATAAGACCTCAAGCAAGGCATGGACCACACTTGTACCAAGTGATAATATCTGTAAGACCTTGAGCAAGGCATGAACCACACTTGTACCAAGTGACAATATTTGTAAGACCTCGAGCAAGGCATGAACCATACTTGTACCAAGTATCCAAAACTGTAAGACCTCAAAGGCATGTAAAACTTGTAAGACCTTACTAAAGGCGTAAACATGATCCCAAAGTTAAAGCTATATATCGAACTTGTAAGACCCCTAAAAGGCATACCCTCGATATAGACGCCGAAACTACTTCACTCGGGACTAAAAATGGCTCCGGCCAAACACAAATGACTACGGTCACAAGGCTGTATCAGCCAAACTAACGCGACTCGGGGATGCCCAAACGACGCTACAAAATCACAGGCCTTCAATTACTTCGAATCAACTTCAAAAAGAACCGGTTAAACATGCTACCCTCGACATAGGCAAAAGAGCTTCGACCATGTCAACTCCAAATTA